TTGACAGAAAAAAAAAAAAAAAAGAAAATCAGGCAGTGCAAACAGAAAGGAATGGTTAAAACTTAGAAATATTCAAGTGGATGTGGTAAGATTTAGACATGTTCTGGATGTGTGGGTCAAAGGAGAGCAACAGGCCAAAGAAGATGCCAAGATTACAGCCTTGAGTGAAGAGAGGCATCGTTATATTCTCTGTTCTTTCTAGTTAACTCTGTTTTGGAACAGAGAAGAGACAATGAAAACAGTAACTCAGTATTTTGAAATATTATGGCCCAGCTTTCATTTAGAAACTTACCAAATAGCAACTGAAGACATTTGTTTGTATGTCGAGGCCATGGTATCAACAGCCACTGTTACGTAGGTGCAGGTATTCTATCACATGGTGCCTTAAGAATCAACCTAAATCACTAAACTACCTATCTTCTTTTGTTAGTGAAACTGAAAGATGCCAAAAAAATTACATTACCCTGAAGTTAATTTCTTCATTCCAATTTAAATGAAACACATTTTTTTTCTGCATTTGTTTAAGGAATAGTAAATGAAAAGGTATTTATTCTAAAATTTATTCTGTCACAAGAAGAAATTTACTTAACGCTCTTCTAATTTATGATAGATGCTAAACTACTCAAACCAAGTTTTCTTTCTACTGAAATTGTTCATGCTTAGATTGTAAACTCCTCAGGACAGGGGCCTGGAATATGCTGGGAAGAGTACTGTTAGGCAACAGAGGTGCTACTAGAGAAAACCGTATTCCCATTACATTTTGGAATGAACTATGTACACATTTCTTCAGGGTGTTTTTGCAGAGACATACCACTGAAATAAAACCTAATTAATTCATTACAAATGATCTGGAAACAAATAAATAGTAAGGTGGCGAAGTACGCTGTTGATAGTAAGTTACTGAGGGTAGTAAAAATAGAGCAGGCTGAGGGAACCTGCATACAGGCTCACAATACTGAGTGCATAGGCAGGTGAAATCTAATATAGATAACCACAACGTGAACACAGAAAAAAAATCCTATCCTTACTTATAAGACTATCTAGTGGATGTAGATGTTAGTATTCAGAAAAGAGATCCTGGGATCTAGATAGTTAATGCTACGAAAACATCGTTTAATGTTTGTTCAATGTTCAACAGAACAACATTCAACAAGGCTCTGTCTATCTGCTTTCTCACTTCCCTAACAAAGCAAAACAAACAAACGACAGGAATTACAAGGAAAGAACTGGATAATGACATGAAACCCCTTATTTTGACTGCTCTTGTGTCCTGAATACTGTGCGTAACTCCTGGTCTCCACAGCTCCAAAAGCATACAGTAGTGCTCAAAAAAAAAAAATTAGTATTAACAAGAAAAAAAATCAAATAACTAGAACTCTTCCGTTTGGAAAATACAAGACTGAGGAAAGATATAAATCGTAAGTTGAAGAGAGAAGGTGACTGAAGAGCAACTGTTTATTGTTTCTACCAAAATGAGAATAGTATCAACTAAGACAGAAAGGAAACTTCAAAAAACCAAAACCGCACAATGCATAGCAATGCACAGTCAAGTTGCATTGAGCAAGGTCCTCTTCCTGTAGTACACAGCAGATGTCAAAAGCCTATGTAGACTTCAAAAAAACCGAATGATTGGGCAAATTTGGGGAAGAAAAATCTCCTGAGAACTGTTAAGAATAAAACACCACTTCTGATTCAGAAAGTGCTAAAGCCACGCATGGTTGCACTGAGGGTATTAAAGCCTCGTATGTTGTCCTATCTTTGTACTCTTCCTTAGGCACCTTCTAGTGTCCACTGCTACAGACATACCTACTCAAATATGATGTTTTAATGAAGACTACACTATCTAATTATTTCTGGAATGCATTTATTTATAGCTGAATTCAAGGGAATAAAAAAAATAAAAGGATACGCATTGCAGCCTTGAAGACATTTACATATACATTTGATGGTGGTCCAGTTGATAGCATGAACAAACAAATAACAGTAAATGTAAGCATATAATCCCCAAAGGAACTTCCCATTTTCTCTTTTGAAAACTCTTTAACACGGTTTTGTACCATCTGTACTTGCTACTAAGTGGGGCAAGTCAGGACAGAATTTCTTTTTCTTTTTTGGGAAAGAGCGTAGGAGTATTTCTAACTGAGGAAGGTGCACGACAGTATGAAAGTTCCATCAATTTGATCTGCCTTTTGAAAAACAAACCATTGCTTATTTCCATGTTCTTACCCACAAAAATTACTTCGTTTGTCACTGCATATTGTATTTTCTGTCTGTAATCATGCTGGACGATTTGTGCACGTTGCCAATTTTTAGGCCCCTATCCTGCAGCAGCGCTTCCTGGTACCCCGCAGCTTCCCCAAAGCGACGGCTACTTGAGCGCTAGTCAGGTGTAGCAAATCACAAGCAATGGCACCAAGTCATTTCAAGAATTCCTTCTTTCCATAAGCAAGAAGCGCAATCGCCAACTTACCTGATCCGATTCCTAAACCGATTTAAGTAAAGCAGTACGGTATTACGCGGAATTACCGCTCAAAGGGCATTTATTTTAAATAATGATGTGAAAATGCAGAGTTATGATCGTAATTTCAAAGTGCTAAGCAGTTACTCCTCCAGGAACAAACACACAGGACGAATGAGCAAAGGCATTGCTCAAAATCCCCTTAGCTGCCCGTTTTCCCTTACAGCAGTCTAAACACTTTTAATAATCTGGTCCAAAACTATTATTTTGATCCGTTCCAAAGGGATTACTCGTGCAAAATAATCAAACCTGGTCGAGCAATAGCGGGCTAACCTGCAACTCGGTTACCGAAGACTGAAAAAAAAAGCGCAGAAAATGACTCTAATCCATACTTACTTTTCAGGTGTTTAAAAAACAAAAACAAAACAGGGGAAGAGAGGGCTGGTCCTTAAGGGGAGAACGCTTCGATGCTCGGTGCGTGCTTTAAAGCCCGTGCGAGCAACTTTCGCGGGGCGCCCCAAAACAAGAGGCCAAGATTAAACAGAAAGTTAAACCCGCTCGGCGTCTCCCGCCCTAAGC